AGGAATGTTCACGCCAGTGAACGACCTGCTGGGTGAGAACAGCTGGAACAGAAAAGGTGCAGGTGAGAAAGCAGCCTGACCCTGGGCCCTCCAGCCCCAACAGCTCTGGAAATGCACCAACAGCAAAGACACTCGTGTTCTGCACTCAGCTCCCACACTCTGATGGTGCAAGTGGACTTTAATGTTTTCTGCTTGTGATGCCCGAGGCCACCAGAGCCTGCAGGCTGCCAGCTGGCCCTGGGGCCACAGACCAGCACCTGCACTGCAGGGATCAGGACCAGCCCCAGGGCCCAGGAGCTCCAGCTGCCTCAGACCCCACCAGGCTGGTGCTGCAGGGCCAGGTCTCTCCAGGCACCAGCTCCAAGGATGGCTGTGGACCATCCAGCCCCCTGCACCACAGCTGGTGTGGAGAGCTCCCAAGACACTGCTGGCTGGGAAGGTACAACCAGGGAGATCCTTTTTCTGCCCCCACGCCAACCAATTCCCAGGGACATTTCCCAGCAGTGAGCTGGGAAGGTCAGGCCAGCAGCTCGTGGCACCCAAAGCAACCAGCAGCTCCTGAAGGAGCAATGCTCCAAGGTCAAGAGTACCAGACATAAAGACCCACACTCCACCAGCAGAAGTTAAAGATGGGAAGTTCTTAGGCATAAACACTCTGATGATTTCCTTTTTTTTTTTTAAATTAAAAAAAAAAAAAAAAAAAAAGAAGAAAGAAAAAACCACCCTCCATTCCTGGAAGCCTGAGTCAGAATTACCAGAAGGAAGCTGGACGGAAGAGCTATTTTCAGTGCCAACAAATCTGGAGAGCAGGTGAAACATCTCCACCTAAAATCTGAGCTCTGCATAAAAGTTTCTTCTTAGGCAAGAGAAAGGCCCAGATGTGCTGGGAGGGCAGGACACACTGAGCTCAGCCTGGGCAAGGGAAAGCTCCTGCAGGTCTGTCCCTGCATCAGGGAATGTGGGAGGTACAAATCCCTGGAATCCCACTCAGCAACGTGGCTCTGGCACATGGTGTTTCACCCCGGTGCCACCAAGGTAGTGACAGGAACCTTGGCTGTTTGGAGGACTGAAAAACCAACTGCAGAGCTGAGAACAGGACACGAGGGCCAGTCCAGGTGGGAGCAGGAGCTGTAGTGGGTGATGGAGCATCTTGCCTCAGGCTAAACTTGTGGAATTCCTTCCTATCTGCTGAGCTAGGAGAAGGGTGTTCACATTTTTAGAGTGTGGTGAATGAGTTAGACAGAAAAAACTACATGGGCAGCCCACAAAAATTCTGGCTACAGCCCTCAGGGGCAGAGAGCTCTGCTTCCCCAGTCTGAGGGCACTGCAACTCATGAGATGGTTGTGAGAAAACACAGTGGATCACATGAACTATTTTAAAAAAGGTATTTCACAAGTTCATTACAAATGAAGCAAGCATGTTCTGCCTGCTCCCCCTGCAAAGGCTGAACAGGGCAGCAGCTCTTCCCTCCATGTCCACTCCTGAAATGACAACCAGAGCCAACACGTTCTATACAGCTCCTTTCTTCACAGATAAGGGCAGGGACACGAGGCAGCTCTGAGCCCAGCTACCTCCTCCTCTCCATCACAAACACTTCCCCTAAAGCTGCAGCCCTGGGCACTTGAGATAAGGATTTCTGAGTGAGCTGGAAACCTTGGGCAGTCTCACTGGGATGCTTTGCTCCAGTTCTGATCTCCCTGTAAAACCCCTCTCTCTCTGTCCCCCTCTCTGTAAACCCAGTTCCCCAGTGCTAGTGACAGCTGAGAGAAAGAAAGCAAAGCTAAAACATGGATGCAGCCTTTCCCACACTGCATCTTCAAATTGCTGCATGACAGGAGCCAGTTCATTATTTTGTAGTTTTTTAAAAAGCACAAGCTGCACTTGCACCTGGGATCTCTACGTGGGGCTCTCACACCAGCTGCACCCAGGGTCACTCAGGAGTGTCCCACCATCAGAGCTGGTTAGAGCTGCTTCTGCTCCACCTGAAACTCCAAGACTGGAACTCTGGAAAACCTGCTGCCCTGCAGCACAGGGGCAGGCAAAGCCTGAGCCAGCTCCAGCTGATGGGATCTGCTGCACCAACACAGACAGGGCTGCACCTGCCTGGGTGACACACTGGGTAATGAGACCCACCTTCAGTTTGCTGATGTGACTCAGGAACTGCTCTGGCTACTCAAAAGCCAAAATTCCTGCAATTTTATGGAAAATGATGGTGGTGTAATTATGTGGGAAGAGACAGGGCAAGATTACCTAAACTGCTTGCACACTGGTGCAGAGTATCAGCAAAGTCTCCATCATGTCTGAGTGTTTTAGTAAGAGGAGCCTTTTCTTTGGCACTGCCTTGAGATCATTTGTTTGCCTCCTTCACTAGCAACAAAAAAACATAGTTGGAATTCAGGCACTGACACAGCTGACAATCATGAGCCAACCTCACAATCCATTTACCTGGTGTCCTGTGAGCTACCACTTCCCATGCAAGAATGAAACTGAAATCTCCAGACTAGGATGTGCTTAACTGACCAGGAAATATCAAAGAAATGTAAAGAAAAAAAAAGAAACAAAACCAAAAAACAACCTAACCAATCCCCCCAGCCACCTTTGTATTCAGAAAACACACAGATAAGACAACGTTTAAAATAGCTAGAGATTCTTTTCAAAAGGAAGTCGTTAATAAACGGAATTCCAAGGAGTTAATTGGCCTTATCTGAACCTAAGTGTTCTGCAGGACAACAAGGGGCAGAGCAGGACGTGAAGAACAGCATGAAACGAGACCAGAGACAAGTCAGTCTCACACTTACATGACACATATTTGTTTCTGACTTGCATTCTTTACACTGGATTTAGAACAGCTTTCCCAGGAAGTTTCTTGCTGCCCAGTGCAGACACAAGGCTACCAGCTCGTTTAGGCACCAGTATCTCACCCAGAGTTCCTGTGTTTGGGCACCCCAGACAGAGTCCTGCAGTGATTTAGGCCACAGTGTGAAACAACAACAATGGGAGATGAGGAGCAATAAAGCAAAAGCCTCCTCTGCCTTGGGGGATCTGTTTTCTACCTTTTTAATCATCCAATTTACAAGTGCAGTCTTCAGCCCTTTCTTTGGTCCAAGCAGCTCAGCTCTCCTCCTACTGAGATGAAATCTCAGAGATTTCAGCAAGAGTTCAGGTGTCTGATTTGAGGATCTGCCTGAAGATCTCACAGAAAGCTCAAGGCAGGCAGGAGCTCTGATCTCCCAAGTCCCAGGCCAGGACTCTCACCACCAAGCCACACTCCCTCAACGCCAGCCTGTCCCTCAACATTCCCAAGCAGAACTGCTTATTCCCAGGCTGTGACAAAAGCCAGTGCAGACCCCACTGACTGCAAACGCAGCCCCTGCACACACAGAGCCTCAAAACACTGCAGGGCCTAAATTACAACCAAGCCAGACTGGCTTCTCAG